GAATAACTTTATAATACGAAAATGTATCCTTCCAGTTACATTTGTCTTTCTTCTTTTGCTTTGGAGTTAGCATCTTATACTTCTGTACTTTGAAGAAAACAAACTGTCTTTATTTCCAGCTCCTGGATTTTAACCTACAAGAAGGCTGAGGGTAAATATATCATGCTTCATGATTCTAATTTGTTTCTATTAATAAGAATTACATGGAAACAGTGAGTAAACTGTAAAGCAAAAAAGTGCTGCCATGTGAAAGAACCTTAACAGGACTCAGTCATTTTTCAAATACTTGAATTGCTTTGGAAAGGATGCAAGGTATGTGTTTTCTAAACATGGAGTGGATTGACTTTCTGACAACTTACCAAAACTGTGTTTAGCCCTGGGCAATGTTAAGTAAGGAATTTTTCTCCTGTTTGTCAGTTCAAGCCTTCACGTGTGTTCCTGTCTGGAGTAGGTGCCAAAAAGGGAATGATATTTTCAGAGCTTTACTCTTCTTTCTTCAGTTTTTCCACCTATTCCTGAACTGGACTGACCTTCAGTCAGAAGGTTTTTGACCTTTTTTCTTTTTTTACTAGAGGGAAAGGGAATTAAGTTTTTGGAGCACAGCTGTCCAATTTGACAGTAACTAGGCCAACCTAGTCAATGAATATACTGCACCAAGTCAATGAATGCTGTTTAATAAAGGCTGACTAATCGTAAAACACATGTAACTTTTCAAGGCTTATTCTGATTTTATTATTTATGACTTTATTGCATCCTTCTGTACCTTCCATGCTGGTAGGTTCTTCCTTCATAAGATCATCTTTGAAAAATGCAGTGTGTGTAGCTTGCTATTTGTCTTGTTACAGCTGGATAGCCCCTACCTTAGAGAAAAACCTCCAAAAGCAACATAAGCTTGTCCTCAAGTTTGACATATTTGTCAGGGGGAAAAAAGGTTAAAAAAGCCAACAACAAACTCTACATAACAAAAAACCTGCAAGAAATTTCTGTGCTCATTTTTGAATTCTGAATAATGGAGTTACAGAAATAGAGCTGTTGTATCTGCTGTATGATTAGCAGTAACAAAAGGACAGCTTACCTGAAGGTTTATGTCAAATGTGTGTTCCAAGCTTCTTTGGAGTTTCCACTATTTCAAGGTGTTTGAGGTAAAAGATGAATGGTAGTACTGAAGGGACTCTTAACTTATTAAAAAAATGGAGGATGGGTGGAAAAGAATTTTTTTCAAGAAACATAACACTTGAGATAGTTCTGTCCATGTTGTCCAGTGGTTTACATTTTTTCCCTGCTGTTTTTCTTTCACAGCCCAGGTCTTGAAGTTACTTTCAGTTATAATGTCCTTTACCTATTCTTTTTCTTTATGTCAGCATCTATGAGAAATGAAGTACCTTTCAAGCAAGGGACACCTAATAACTGAAGTAGTTGAAAATTTACTTGAATATAGTGATTATCTCTTTGAGTTTTCTGCTTGTTGATTTTTTAATTTATTTATTTTTTAACCACACAGACTGTGTCACGTACAGTCTACTTTAGTAGCCAAATAAATCTCCAGTTACTATTTCTCCTTTTCACTTGACAGTCAGTTTACATGTAATTGTGGTTCATAACCAAGGGCTGACGTAGGAATTGCACATAAGAGTTTGAACTCCTCTTAACCATTTCTATTTTTGTCCTTATAATCTATACTGTACTGTGTACAGTAATGACATTTACATTCTTAGCTCTTGGGCTAAGTTCAGGTAGCTACTTCCTTTTCAGCCAATTGGCAACATTTGAGACAGACCATGCACTGCATATTTAGTAATAGATGTGTTCCCACTTCCTTGTAACTTCTGCTGGAACAGGGTGGTTCTGCTCCAAGTCCAGGTTGGCACTTTTAAAGAATGGTCTAATAGATGTCTGAGCTTTTTAGTTCATTCAAGTACTCCACAGTTTCTGGGAGGATTGTATTACACTATATTTTTCTGTATCACACTCAGAATCCTTAGAGTGATGACAATATTTCTAAATTATTTTGGAAATGCTAAAGCTATTCTAATCTGGTAAAATCCTGTGATATCTTTTAAGAGTGTTTTCTCTCCTACTTTGTTCCTAGTTAGTTAGGTTTTTCTCTTGGATTACTTGCATTTTGTTATGATATATATAACATGTATAATATAGCATAGCTAGCCCTTGCTGCCTTTTGTGTTCCCACTGACAGATTTTTCCTCCTAGAGAAGACTAAAAAAGTCAGCTAAGGAAATAGGTCTTTTTTATCTTTCTAGCCTGGTTTTGAGGAAGTGACAGAAAGTTTCTCCAGAATTTGTCAGCTTTTCATCTTCTCCTTCGCATTATTATTGAAATGCAAGCCAGTTTAGCTGAAATTTGAAAGCATTTGAAAGTAATCAAGTTTTGATTAAAATAATTAACAGCGACAAGTGGATATATAGAGAAGATACTCAAATTAGTTTTCTAACTGTGAGGGAGCAAAGGGAATTTGACAGTTGTGTTCTCTTTCTTAGCATTTGATCTAAAGGTTTCTGGAGTCATCCAGAATCCGTAATCTCCTTTTATTTGATTGAACTTTTTTCTGTTTTTCCACTACTAACTTCTGAACACAGGACTTTCTCTTGAAATTGATAAGCTAAATTCAGGCTAGCACTTATAAGAAAGGTTTCTGAACTCTTAGAAGCAAGAATGTTATATCCAGTGGGCTTGAATCCACTAAAAACCTATGCAGTGCTTTCAGACTACTTCTGTAGAACAAATACATCTTTGTCTCCCTGTTAAGTCATCTCTTCAAGATGGGACAGATCTTAAAATATCAAAGGTCATTACATTTTAAAATATGACAAAATCTTTTAAGTTCATTTATTTTGTGTCTGGGAAACATAATTACTCTTTCCTAGAGTTTGGTCATGTAGCCTTACACACTTGGATCTTTGTACATCTCTAAATGCCTCTGGCATCTCATATTGACGTTCCTTTGAGGAATAGTTACTGAACTGTAGTCTGCCTTACAGTCAACTTTTCAAAGCAGAGTTATTTTTCAATAATATTTGCTAAGTAATAGAATTACTGACTCCTTGAAGTTTTATTAAATTAGGTGGTCATTTGATACCATATTGTTTGTGTCATTTTTATTTTCGTGTATCTTTAATTTACTCTTGCTTAGATCTCCTTTGTTATTCTTTTGAGGCTTGCAAATTTAAAACAGATTTCAGAGAACTGAGCTATTTTTTTTTGACCAAAACAGATCTGTTGAAATTTCTGTTTCTCCAGCTGTAGTTTCATTGTATTACATCTGTATGCTGCACAAGTAAATCAGAACTACTAAAAGCATTGAATGTTAGCTGAGACCTCAACAAACCACTTGATTCAGCATGGGAAAGGATTGACTGCATTTTGCAAAATTTCTGAAATCATAGGCTGCTCTTAAAATGAGGAGAGAAAGAGACCCCTCTCAAGATCCAGCAACATTTATACTCTAGAACTTTCTCCTGATGCCTCTCTTTAATTATCCTTTGTTTGTGTTAATCCCATTCTTACACGGCCTGCACTGGATAAACAGAAGATCCTCTTTTGCAGCTGTCTTCTGGGTATTCAAAAGTAATACCTCCACCTTGAAGTTTCATTTCTTTTGCATAACTAGATTTTTCAGTCTTCCAGAGTCTTGCTTTTTAGACCACTCTTGACAGCTGTTCTCTGGATTCTCATTAGTAGTCCAAGTTAGTGGTGACTTAGAATAGTGTAGTATGGAATAAAATTAACCCTGGTCTAGCCTAATAAGTTTTGTGATTTTGTAGTATTTTGATTTATCCATTTTTGGAAGTAGTCTTGCTGCAGTAGGCAACTTCTAAAGTCTCGTTTTTATAGCAAATAAGTTACAATTGTCTAGGAAGCAAATCTGGGTTTTGTTCTTTGATTTCTTCATGTGAGCTGGATTGAGTTCTTTTCTATTTCATATGAGTTTCAAGAGGATCGGGTCTTTAATCTCCTGAATTCTTATTCTGTTGGCTGGTCTGTTTCTGGATTTTTAAGTAATGGACTTGTCTAAACTATTGAAACCAAGAAACAAAAATTCAGTTTTTCTGACTATTTACATCTGTCTAGAAAGGCAGAAAAATATTATGAAAGATTGATTAGCATCTGTTGCTTCGCCATCTAGTTTTGTCATTTCTGGCCCTCTTATCTCCACTTCTATGCTCTTCCTTATGAAGTTAGCCTAAATTTATAAGCACAAAATGTACTGTATGTTTGTGTAAATGTATGTGATATAGAGCACTTCTTCAGATTAAACTTCTACCTCTCTACATGTCCTGCATGATTTCATTTATAATCTCCTTGTATTAGAATATTCAAAATCAATGCCATTCTCTCATGCACAGAAAAGTCTTGATTCAAATTAACAAAGCAAGTCCCAGTACTTATGATGTCACACACTTTGAAATGAGAAACAAACCAGAAACAAAAGTATAAGCAAAGCATAACTAAGTATAGCATCTTTATCTATCTATCTCTTTCTATATATGTATATATTTTGTTGTTAGGAAGAATAGTGATGTTGTTGTTACCTTAGAAACCAGAATGCCATGGACAATTGCCAAGTCATTTTAAGTTTGTTTGAGTATTTGATCTTTTGCTCACGTTAAAGCAATAGATTGCAGAATAAAATGCAGAAGATGGTAAAATTCAACACTTGATTAGTCTGAAGTTTATGTAAAGATCAGATGCTTCAGACTATTTTAGAATAAAGCATTTTGAGAAGTTTAAATAGGAAGATGGTTTAAGGCACATAGTATATTGATTTTATTTAACAGTGTATTGTCTCCCAAATTTTGCTTAGAAGCCAGATATATGTGCAAAAAGTAAAGTTAGTTATAAAACTAAGATTAATAACTAATTTCTTAATGGAAATTTGCTAAGTGTATGTTTTCTCTCATCACCTGCAGATAGATAGTAAGGGCAGCAGCAGCAGCAAGCTAGCGTGATGAATGAGTGTAATTCAGTTTCTTTGTATTGTACAGCTTGAGAAATGCCAGTGGCCTGACAGCAGCAGACCTTGCACATACCCAGGGCTTCCAAGAATGTGCCCAGTTTCTCTTGAACCTCCAGAACAGTCACCTGAATCGTTTCTATAGCAATGGCACCTTAAATGGGGTTCATCAGAATGCAGGTCCCAATCCATTCAGTGGTGGGACCAGTCGAAAGAGATCCTTTGAAGATACGGAGTCTGCTGGAGCAAAGAAGGCTAGAACAGAAGGTGAGACCCCAGAGGTAAAAGGGATGGGTTGATACTGTTGCTGAGAAAGGAAAATAAACATTTTAAAGCCTTTTGGAGTGGATGTTGAGTATTATTGACAAACTCACGTATCTAAATTACATATTAATCCAAGAAGATGAATATAATTCCATGCCACAAGATCCCAGTTCTCCCTGTCATCATCTTGGCGTGTTCAGAAATTTCTATTTCCAGAGAGTGCTATAGCTGCACGATGCCAAGAATAATTATGCAGAGGAGTAGGAGCTAAAATTAGTTTCTACTCCTTCCTCAGTTTCTTCACCTTCATGAGAGCCAAATAACATTGCGTTGATTCACATAGATACCCGGACGTTCTGATGGTAATTTTCCACTTGGGGATTAATTCACAATTCAGAAACTCTGTGCTAGGTAAGATGAATGAAAGAAATTTAAGGCAGAAAGGTTTCTCAAATCAAGAGGGATTATGTCTGTAAGGTAAACATACCTCAAGTTTCCAGGATCATGCTCCAAGAACTGCTGTCTTAGCAGAGGGTGTAAGACTAAAATGAATCTTAAGGACTCTTGTTCAACCTTGTGCATTGAGGATACTGCTGCTTTCTCTGCCAGCAATGACACAATAGTACAACCCAAAGATATTTTTTGGTAGCTCTATGAAGAAGTTTTTTACATCTTATACACACCTTGAGTAACATGATAGAAAATATCTTCCTTTCTTTTGCCTATTCCATTAAATTCTTACTAAAAACAAAGCAGCAATTCTGCACTCCAACTCCTTTTTTCCTGTGGTTAACATCAGGAAGGGGACTTCATGAGTTTTTGTTGAAGGGTCTTCTTTCAGTTAAAATTGATGTTATTCTAACATACGTGACTTTCAGCGAGCCAAATAGAATGGGCTTAAACAGTGCTTAATTCCAGATAATAAGAGGGAAATTGAGGCCTAAACCATGTTTCTAAATATGACATGGGCAACATAATTACATCAAGATTGACACTGTAGTATTTTCAGTACTTGCTATCTGGCCGTGACTTCTAACTATAGCAGGATCAGAGGCCTTAACTGGGTACTTCATAGCCAGTCATGAACGGGATATGCCAGACTTAGGGAATAATGTCCTAAGTAGATATACAAAATAAGAAAATTTGCCCAGTGTTCAGGTGCCCATAACAGTTTCAGAAAGATGTCTTCGGTGCATTGATGTTCTGCTACCGGGAGGCACTGCTTGCAGTAAAATTTATTTTTCATTTTGAAGAGCCACTCCTGAATGTTCCTAACCAGCCATCTCTTTCAGCTTCAGGATGTGGCTTCAAGCTGGTCCATAGGCAGCGTTTCCCCAAAGTCTGTGGGGGTGGCACTGGGCTAGCTGTGTGTATTCTCTGTTTCCATGAAATAGCAGTATCTGCATCACCTTTCACTATAAACAGTTGGTCCAGTGCATAAGTTAGATCAAGCAAAAAAAAAAGACAATGCAGTGAACAGGAGCTCCCAAGTAATTACAAAGATGTTGGAAAAGCAATTGAGAAGATAATTTTTTTAAATTGTTACCAGTATGACTTTTTAAGACCTCTGCAAACAAATGCAAAAGCTTTACTGCATTTGCTTGGAGGTTTTTGGAGTAACTAAGAGATGCATCTCAGCTGTGAAAGCTGCAGTTTCTAATCTGACGTGTCTGCCCTCACAGACATCAGCATCAGTAATAGCTACGTATTGATGTAAAAAGTCTGTTGCAGTGAGAATGAGTCACTGTTCCTGAGGCATTTTTGTAAACAACAGAGCTGAGTAATGTGGAGTCATCAGTACATCTTTGTGCCTAGCTGGCCTTTTTACAAAACAAGCCCAATTTTGTGTTAATTTTGCCCTTACTAAAACCACAGTGGTCTATTGTGCTTTAAAGACTATTTACACAGGAGACTCCAGATGTTCAAAGAGTGCAAGCAACCTGTATTTGCAGGTGTTGATGGCTATGCCCCAATTCAGAATAACCACTGCTTTGAAAAAAATTACTTTTTGTGACAATATATGTCCCATACAAGAACCTGGAACAGTAGAGTAGGAAGAAGATAAATGCTTAAGCTGTACTTTGCTCTGGAATAGCTAAACTGGGCATTGGATGGGGATTACTTGTAATTCTGTTTAAATGCATACACATGGATCTGCTATCAGGTGCATAGTATTGAATCTTTGACCTCAAAATTAAGTGCCACTGATACACGATATGCCATGATTCAAAGTAATAGCTCTCTCAAAGGTAGTGCAAAAATGAGTTCTGAAGGCTGAAGCCGAACTTGAAGTAAGTTGGTGGCCACTCTCAGAATATACACCAGGTAGTTTTTCATTTTGACTTAAAAACATGAGCTGGATTTTATGTCTGTTTTTCTGAAATCAGTTCCAGAAATTTCACTGTTCTGCCTGGGCAGGTCAGCAGAGTATGGTGCTCAGGGTCAGAGATGATGATGATGATGATGCACACCAGGCCATCTGGTCACACAACTGTTCATGGCAGTCCTAATCCTGGCCCTTCTGGTCAGCCCTCAATGGGTTGGCTTTGCACTGTGTGTTGCCAAAGGTACTGACTTGCTGCACACGATCAGTGACTGACTGTATCAGTATCATGGCTGGTTTGGGTGTTCTGAGTGAGGTGGGGATGGAGAGCATTGCCAGGCATGACTTGGCCGGCATGAAACAGCGCATGAAACATTCCTGTAGGTAACTAGGAGAAAATGCCTTTAGTTTCCTGGTTTAAGGGAGTTTGAAGCCCACTGATCCAAGGGCCCTGGCGTCATTTAAGCCCTCTGTGATTTCTTTGGCCCTGGAACACTTTAGCTATTGCTTAAAGTTCTTTAAAACTGAACAGTTTATGAAAATTTTGATTGTACCCGGGATAATGAAAGCTGACTTGCAGTCTACCAAAGCAGCCCTTTATAACATGAGTGTGTGCAGTGTAAATAGCAAGATGTGTTAATGCCAGTGTGAGAGCAAGGCAGGGCCTGCTGGGATAGAACTGGAGCAGCGCTCTGGGTAGTAGGTATAAGAAGTAGTAGTGAAGTTGAGCCCATCTTGCTTATTAAAGCGTTCCCCACAGCAGTCTCACCACTTGCTAACTTGTCTCAGAACTGTGTGTTCAGCTCTTGAAGGGATCCGTGAAGCAGTCTGTTATACAAATGGATGAATTACTGGGACCTGGCCCTTGGGAGTGAAAGAGGGAATAGTCCAGACTGACAGTAGACAATTGTGAGGTAGAGACTGCTTTTTATCTGTTGGGGACACTAGCTGTAAAGCCTAAACATGAGTAACTTAAATTGCTCTCTATTCAACTGCTTGGCTCACCAAACTAGTAAGCTTGATGTGTAGGTGCAAAGTCTCATAGGTGCTCTGATAGTTCTCCATTTTGAGGAATTGAAATGAATGAGCAAGTACTTAGCAGTTACTTACTCTACATTTTGAATCTGAACATCAGAAGCTCTCAGATGTGTAAAATTTACATTTCTTTGTAAAGTTTTGGCTTTAATAATCAAAGTACTCATCTGTTTGTTGGCTGAGTTTTGAAGTGGGCACCAGTGACTAAACATGACTCCTGTTTTTTATCAGCTTACAGCTTTGATGGCTTAATACCAGTGATGAATGGAGGAGCTGAGGACGATGCTGACAATATGCACGTTGATAGAGAGTTTGCTGTTGTATCAGGTGGGAGTGGACAGTTTCCTGTTAACTACAACAACATTCAAATGGTTGAAGACACCAAACAACAGGAGAGTACTTCTGTTGGACCAAAAGAAATTGAAATATACACTGTTTCTGCAATGCAAACTCCTTGTCGTTGCAAGAATCAATATGCATTTTATTTTTAATTTAAGTATAAAATTTAGTCCTTCATTTTTGCACATTGTTGTCTAGAGTCTTGGAAACTATTGTATTGCTGTAACACCCATTATACTGGGGGTTTAATAGGCATCAAAAATTAGCTGTTTCACACAATGTATTGTAATCGTGAAAGAGAAGATTTATTAGTTGTTTTTTAATATTTCAGATAAACAGAAATCCACAATGACTGTTTCACTTTTAACCTGAGGCTTGTATTATGTTGTGCCTTGCTTTTTGTTGCTATACTTTCAGGTTAAAGGAAATACAGAAATAATTTAAATTATTCATTTAATTTTGATTAAATAGATTTAATTGCTAATAACAAGACTTGATACAGAAATATATCTTAGCTTTGAAAATAACATGTTATGACAAAGCTATAGTCAAAACATTACAACAAATACTATAAAGAATAATCTAGACATACATCATATCTTCAGAATTTGTTCAGACACAATGGCATAAGTGCAGGATCCTACTATGGGGTTTCTTATGTAAATAAAAGACTGGACATCACAGGTCTTAAACTACTATTTGGAACAAGTGCACCTTGGAAAACAGTTTTTGTGTTTTGTACCAATCTTCATGAGACAATCAGAATGTTACTAGTATTAGTGAATATTAATGCGCTAGGTTTTTTAAGGGCTGCTTAATTAAGATGCATTTGGAAACCCCAGGATATGTATAGAGTTTGATTAAAACTGTCTTGGGTCAGCTTTTTCCTTGCTCTTTGTAGGTTAACACATGGAGTTACTATGATAGTGCAGTATTACATTCAGAAATTAATTTCTTATTATTTATTGATTTGTTCCGCCATAAATTTGTTTGTGCTTTGTACCACAGATCAGATTCGCCAAAGGGAATGATAATTAATAGGTATTTTAATATATTAGGAATAAACGTATACACATATATATAATCAACACTTTAAAAGTAGACTATAATATTTTCCAGTGATAATTACTAAGTGTTCTTATTTGGGGAAAAATGATTGTCTTTCATAAATATACTGTATTACTATAGGTGCTCATTTTTAACAAATAATAACATTCTATAATTATCACTAGAACTATTCATTACCTACTTTTTGCATATTAACTAACAGAAGTGCCAGTTTTATTAGATTTGATTTGGCAAAGCCAGCCTATAATGGTTGATTTTTAAAAGTTAAAACTTCACACTTTTCAGTTAATAAACACTATGTGAAATTCCTTCTGTGCGTTTTCATCACTGAAATATTAGATCTTTGATGTCTTGATGAGTTTGTGGGGTTTTTTTCCACTTTCAACAAGAATTCGTGGTTAGTGAGTTCAGCTGATGTGGTTATTTTAACTTATGTAGGGACTAAACAGGAAACTCCAGTTAGTAAATCCAGTGAGTTACAAACTTTGAACACATTTCTTGGCATTATGTATTGTTGTCTGTGGAGTATCAGTATTGTAATACATATTTCAAGTAATAGCCATGCAAAAGACTAATAGAGAACCAAAACTTCATATTCTTCCTTGTCAAACAGTGGTACTCATTATGTGTCACTTAAATTGGAGCCCAGTGTTAATGCAAATGTGAAAAGTTGCCAACAGACTTACTGGCTTGATTTGGATCCATGCAGTAAATGCAGTCCTGTTCTGCACATGGGTTTATGCCTTCAATGTGGACATAAACATATGTGCATGTATCCAAGGATAACCACAGAATGTAAAATCTGTAAATGTCACCACATAGGTCTGTAGTTTCCATGCTTGCCTTGCTCATCTTCACCAATATAGATAGACATAAATTTTATTTTTAAGGCAGAATATATCACGCATTTTTTGTGCTAGTACTTTTGAGTACCACTGCAAAAACATGCATTTCAGACAGACTGATGAAATCTGTTCATGGAAACAAAACCTATTGTACTAATTTCTAACTTCAAAGGAGAAATTGCTTCAAAACAGTTGTCAGTGGTTTTTGCATGCACATTTTTAGAATTTTGTTTCCTGCTAATAACATTTTTTAGTCTCCTGTGCACTCTACTCTTGCTGTTGTATGGCATTTTGCATGTGGTTTGTACAGATGCTATTATAAACTTATTAAATACAAACCTGCCCAGTATGTTATCTGGGAAGCTGCTAGGTAAATTGAAGTGCTTTTTGAATAAAGGAACTTGGAAACATTTTATAGTAGCACCCCAACATAACATTTCTTTATTTGACTTATTTCAGTGCATATTGTACTGTAAGAGTTACCACTAAAACGAAAAAAAAAAGAACCATGGTTAAATTACAGCTGAAAAATGAAAAAACCCAGCCTTTCACCCTCTCTCTCACAGATACTCAGTTCTTGTATGTACATAATTTTTCATCCCAACAGGGCATTACAGTTAAGGTGGAAAGATGCCTTTTATTCCACCTTTGAAAACACTGCCCAGAATGTTGTGTGCTGCACTTATTTCATACAGTTAAATGAAAAAAAATCTGAGTTCACATTGTCTTTGCAAAGAATAATACAGGCATATTTACAAGTTGAATGTAGATAGATAGTTGCATTTTCAACATGAGAATCCATGTTACAAGCTTACTGGTTAGCTCTCATTACCTTGAACTGCCTACATTGTTATAAAGAAAGGGTAGGTTTATTTTCAAAGCTGTGTATGGAAACATTTTTTAAATAAGTAAAGTACAGTGGAGACATTTTTGTGTATTTCCATATATTCTTAATTGTTGGTGACAGGTGTATTTCTTAATGCAGATATGAATAGCAGTAGCTCCATATTGAATGCACTGACAAATGGATGTGCCATCAATGGACATTTGGATTTCACCACCGCACAACAGCTCAGTGGGATGGATGCCAGGCGTGAGGAGTGCTTAGCATTAACACCTAACGGAGTAATTCCTGGAATAACTTCCCCCAGTAGGCACCGAGTTCATGCCAGTAATGGCACTGAGGAACCAGAAAAAGCCATGAGTAATTCCACCGATATGTGTGGATCTCTCCATCTGAATGGAAGCCCGAGTAGCTGTGTTTCTAACCGGCCCTCGTGGGTTGAAGACCCTGGAGATACTTTGCACTATGGACACTACCATGGTTTTGGGGATACTGCTGAAAGCATCCCTGAACTTAGTAGTGTTGTTGAGCATTCCAACTCTGTCAAGGTCGAACAGAGATACGACAATACTGTCCTAGGCACAATGTATTTGTATCACGGTTCCTAGATGAATGATCTCTATGTCAAATGCATATTGAAATTGCTACCAAATGAAACTGAGGAGACAAAATCCTCACATAGCATTAAATTTGAAGATCGCAACTTGTTGCTATTTTTACACTTTGTTTATATGAAAAGTAAACCCTTAATTTGACAGCCTTATACAATAGTTGTAGTTTGTTGCATGTATGGGGCTTATTTAGTGATAATAGGTGCTGTCATGATGGAATGTTTATTGTTTTCATTTTTTTGTTACGGAATGTTCTGGTTTTGTATTTTTTTTCTAAGCTTGTGAACACTATCTTTCCCTTTTTAGAGGTGTTTTCCCTTTTATTAAAACAACGTTTAACTGAATTTTGTGAAGAAAATGTTACGTATGTGCATCACTTAGAGGTAAAGATTTTTCTTTTCCGTATCTTCTGCTGAAGCTATGGTAGCAATATCAATGCCAGCTCTCACTATGCAAGGTTGAAAGTGGCAATCTTCTGGAGCTTCTCTGACTTTATAGTTTGTACATTTGTTTGGTATAATTAGATGTTCATCTTTAAATTTTTTGAACAAGTTGTTTAGAAATATGGAGACAAATTTGGAAGAATTTACTGTTTCACTTTCTGTAGCGTAGAAGTGCTTTTTGTTGTTGTTGAGCTCTTTGCATTACAGAGTGGGAAAGTTCGGTCGCAGTTGGGTGTGCCTCAGGTTTGCTCTGTGGTGGGTTTCTTTGGCTTCTCTCCTTTTGTGTGCGCTTGATATTTTACCATAGCTCACAGACCGGAGGCATGTTGGCACTGTTCTGCTTTGTACACGGTTTAAAATTGCTGTTACTTGTTATAGAATTTGCCAAGTCAAAATATTTGAGTTTGACTGTCTTGGATATACATTTATTGTCTTTTTTTTAACATACGCTTTGAAAATGTAATGTTGTGTACTCTTTGGGCTATGCTCACAGAAAATACATTGTATTTAATGCTTAATACACAAATCAAAATTCATATAAGTGCACTATATGAGCACTAATAATATAAGTTGCTGCTTGTGTTACAAGTGAAGAGTGGAGAAGAATATGGTAAATGAGATAAGCCCTCTGAATTGTGTTGATTTTTTTGTTCTTGTTTTGTTTTCAAAAGGGACCTTTACAAATTGGATTAAAAAATAAACATATTACATTGTATCTGAATATTTTGTTTAGATGTTATTATTTTTGTAGCAGTTTGAGGAAGCCTTAAGTAGTTTATAACTCACAATTCTCCATAATCTTGCTCGGTGCTGCTGTGGAATGTCTTCATTTTGTCAATATATGGAAGCAAATGGGAACAGCCCAATAAGGTGTTCTTGATTAAATTACAGAAACACATACTGGATATTCTGTGTATGATGTATGTATGTGTATCAGCCTTCAGCTCCAGAAATGGGTTAAAATACTGCCTGTCTGATTTTTATAGAAATTGTAGTCTCCTTCAAACATTTTCAAGCAAAATACTACTAACTACAGAGAAATCAGCATTTTAAATAGCCTTTACAGTTTTACATGGTTTACTGCACACAAGGGACTCGCAGCGTATTCAGATTGAGAGTAGCACCGATAGGACAATTGACCAGTTCTTTTGCATGTAGTTGGCCAGACCAACCAGTTCTTAGACAGTTTGATTTGCTGATGTAGAGTCCGGAGGAACATGTGCTGTTGCCATCATACTACCACAACATAGTGACTGCAATTTGCAGTAGCGTTTGGTTCTGGGGATCGTCTTAGTATTTGCTGAGTTTGCTACGCATGCTTGCTTGTGCTTCTTCAAATAAATCAAAGCAACTCATAATGAGCACTGCCATCCTACCTCCATGGCTGTAAACTGATCCCTGAAGGGCTTTCTTTTGGTACAAGTGAATTACTGTGCGATGGTGGAATTTCAGGTACATAATTTTAGCATGGTAAGATTTATACTGTGTTCATAAGGCAAGATTTTTAAAATTTGTGTCCACTTGGTTTTCATTCACTTCCTCTCCACATCTTGTCACTTAAAAATACCTTGCGAGATACTGTATTTCAAACTCAAAAGAGAGAACTTACAGTTTTGTTTTAGAAAGCACTTCTATGCCTATGTGTTCATCCACATGCTAACAGAGACACGCAGCTTTCAATATCTGTATCTGTTATCAGGCCTCGTCAAAGCCAATTGTCAATTATGATTAAATGTAGAAGACCAGTGAGGGCCATATGAGGTAGACACACTGTGTGGATTTGTTGGGTGTCTTTGTTTACAGTTTATGTTGCAAAAGGGAGAAGTCTGTGACAGAGTATGCCTCAGCCAAGAGCCAAGATATATAATTTTTAAAACATCAAATAAGGATAAGAATTCCAAGACTGCTTTTTTACAGGTGCTCTTTGAGACAATACTTACAGCGAAGGCCATCTAAAGTATTGATTTTAAATTTTCCATAAATGTTCAACAGAACATGAAATAAGGATTCATAGAATCCCAGCATGGTTGAAGTTGGTGGATACATACCCAAGCATATGGTGCTGTTGTGAACCCATACCACTCTCACAGGAAGAAGAGTTTTCTCATGTTTAATTGGATTTTCCTGTTTTTCAGTTTGTTTTGTAATTGTAGACACGTGTGAGCAATAAAACTATAAAAGTAATGAGCTTAATAGATCCAACTGCACTTCTGGTAAATGAGTTAGTATATGAAGAACTTAACGTTGTCAAGTATGGAATGAGTTCTGCCAGGTGTAGCTGAGTCTTTCCGTATCATAGAATCATAGAATGGGCTGGGTTGGAAGATCATCTACTTCCAAACCCCTGTCGTGTGCAGGGACATGTAACTACTGATGATGCAGAAGCTTTGTTTTTAAATACCTTGCTGTTAAAATACAGAAGACTCTTCTGGTTTTGCTGTGCTAAACCAACAGGTAGTTCTAGAAGCCTGGCAGAGCTCACAAGCCCTCCTCAGGCCTGAGTTATCAAGTCTCGGATTCTGCTGACAGCAGTGCTGAGCCAGTTGGATTATGCTGTGCTCTGCAGTTCCTGAAAAGACCGCTGGGTTTTAAACACCTGAAGTTAAAGTCTCACAAACTTGTTGCCTGGCAAGGGCAATAGTATTGTAGGACTGTTCATACTTAGGCCTTTTGTCCAAGTGTAGAATTATCAAGACTTGTATCAAGCAGTTGTTTTTTTAGGTGTTGCTATGTCTTACTATTACGTTGGTTCTGGGAATAGTTGTCCAAAACCAAAGTTTTCTGTCCATCTGCCTGTATTTAACTTGATAGCACTGCTGTGAATGTCATATGGAATGCACTGAACAGTCATTCTTACAATCCTCCATGTTATCTCTTTGTTTGAGACTCAATTTTGTGTGAAATTTCAGTTTATTTTTTTCTGCCTTGTGCAGATGTTTTTGCCCTAATTCCCCACAAATGTAGCTTCTTTCCTATTTTGTTTTTCAAATTTGCAGAGTTTTGTCAGAAATACAAATAAGTACAAATTCAGGCAGAATTTTAATATGGAATATTTATGACTGATTAGTTAAGTTTGGCAATGTTGGAAGAGGGAAAAGGGAACTGTTACTCCACTTCATACATGGTTACAGTCTTTAATATATTTAACAATCCCCTGATTCCAGATAAAATACTAGTCTAAACTTCTAACAATTGTGAAAGAAGGCTTTCATTTGAGATGTGTTTTGGATTAAGATGAGATGCTGCTTGGTGTCAAGATCCATTGCAAATGCTTTCACACCCTGTGGACTTAAGTTTCTCTTGCACCTGACTGTGATCAAATCCTGATCCTTGTTCAGACTTGCATTCCGTGAGCCAGCAAGACACTCTGTTATACAGTGTATTTCAGTGCTTTAACAACCATCTTTCTGCAGCCTGCAATTGACCCCCAGCTTAGTATTTATACCCACATTATAAATCTCTGAGGAGCATCTGCTGTTCCGATTACAAACATAACACATAACGGATCCAAAAGAACTGTCGCGCAAAACACATAAATAAGTCCTGAGCACAAAACATGCCTAGATGGAGAAGGATCCCTTGCTGTCCCATACACTGGAGCCAGCCTGCAGTACAAGCAGTTCCCAGTAACACACACCCTCTGAACTATGACCTTGAACACTTCTCCACTTACTTTGCATTCCACCAGTTTCTCCCAGTCAGTGAGAAACTTCACATTCCCCCAGCAGTGCCCCAGCCTGTGTTTCCACTCAGGCACAGCCAGTGCAGTACGTCCTTGACATCCCCTGATCTGGGCATGTGGGGCAGCAGCAGCAGAGGGTGCGGTGGCTGGACCACCTTACTGGTGGCATTACATGCGACACATGCTGCAGCATCACACTGGCACCTTCAAATCCTGGTACATTTTCTCCAGGCTGTTTACTACCCTGGTGAAATTCCTTGTAGTTGTGCTTTCTAGGGACCTTTCTGACAAAAAAAAAAAACAAAAAAACCAACAACAAAAAACCCAAACAAAACAAAACAACAAAAAACCAAACAAACAAAAAAACCAAACAAACAAACAAAAAAAACAACAACAACAAAAAAAACCAACAACAAAAAACCACCACCTTCTCTGACGTTCTAATAAGTAATTTTGTTGTTGTTGTTATTTGCCTCTATCTCTAAAGTATGGCTTTGTGTCAAGGATCAGCTAAAATTAATTTCTTGATGTTCCAAGGAGGAAGTCCTGGATGCCTTGGTTTTGGGTCAGGTGAACTGGGGATGGAGCAGTGTTGTGGAAGTCCTACAGAGATAAAAAGAAAGGAAGGGCAGGGGAAGCCTCCCATGCTGGACAGTGCTGAGAGCTGCAGCAATTGTGCTGCAGCAGCAGAGGCAGGAGTGGAGGGTGATGAAGATGAAGAGTGAAGATGGTACCCTAGGAGGATCCCATTTCCCTGCTGCTGCTGGACTAGGAACTGCAGATCCACAGGGCAAAAAATCCTTGAGACCCATCTGAATCAAGGAAAGAAGAAAAAAAAGAGCCGTGTGTAAACAGGATTTACTATTCCTGGCAACTGGTAACTAAATTTCTGCTACACTGCTTAATAATTCCCAGACGTTTCAGACCTCTCCTTCGTTGCCCAAAGTTTCCTGTCTCAAATGGGTGCCTGGTTGTTCACAGGCAACAATCAAAAGAACTCTGGTTTACTGCAGATGGTTTATTTTAAAAGCATATTGGCTGTAATATCTTTTTAAATACACTGCCATATACTTGGCTCTGTTATGAACATTTATTAATATTCAGTTTAAAAACTTTGCTACACTCAAAATCATACCCCCCAAAAAAAACCATAACGTATGTTACCTGTGGTACAAGAATGAAAATTGGGCATCACCTCTCCCTCCAAAAAGCATGTTTTTAATTAATAACTTCACTTCTGTGTTACTCAGCTGCACGCACAGGACTCGATAACCATTTCCAAATCAGTAGGAATTAGCCTCAACTGACTGACGTGCAGTCAGGGGGGACACACTTCTGACATTGAAGACAAGTGCCCAGGCTCAATCACTAATCTGAGTAGTGTTCTGCAAGGGAAATGACCAAATACTTAAAGCTGAACACAACACTGAGTTGCCTAGTATTAATTACACTTCTTCTTGCCAGGCTAAAACTGTAAGTTAAAGGGGAAGAACAAGTTTATCTGAGTTTCTTTTTCTGCAAAGGCAAGATGGAATCTTACTAGAGGAAATACCACGTATTAATAGAGCTCTTCTTTTGATGTCACTGAAAAGTCAAGTGCTGTTTGTTAGTGCTAGCTGGCAGCTCAATCTCACCAAAGACACGTGCTTTCCTGTGGCAACCACAAACTTCACAGTGTCTGCAGTTTTTGCCAGATTTTGGGTTGGGGAGAAGCAGTTGGGGTTTGTTTGCTTTTATTATCACTGTTTTTTTAAAAGGTGTTGTGAGTTGGATCAAGACTTCATATGTTATGTGCGTAGCTTGGAGTCTCAGTTTATTCTATTTTATATTTGACACATTGTATAATATGAATATTTTATAAAAATCAGTACCAAAAAGACAACTTATGAAAATCAAGTAGGTACACAGTGTAAGAAGAATAAAGCAAAAAGTATATGCATGATGTAGAGAATCACTTACTTAAATTGTAGTTCCTGGGATCAAGCAATTCTCGTGACTGTAAGAGGTACAACCAGAAAATTTTGTAAATTCTAGGAAGT